TCTGTCAATACGATATATCCCGGTGAGCTTGAAATAAAAGATACCACAGAGTCTGACACATCTGTTTCATATCTCGATATTTTCCTAGAAAAAGACGTTAATGGTAATATATCAACCAAGCCTTATGATAAACGTGATGACTTTAACTTTTTAATCGTTAACTTCCCTTACGTATGCAGCAATATACATTTATCACCTGGATACGGGGTTTATATCTCTCAATTGATTCGGTACGTAAGAGCATGCTCTACGTATGAGCAATTTCTAAAACGAGGTAAGTTATTGACAAACAAGTTGATGAAACAAGAATATCATCAGTCTCGTTTAAAGTCGTCATTTCGTAAGTTCTATGGTCGATAGAATGACCTAGTCAGCAAATACAATTTATCATTAAGTCAAATGCTGACTGACGTTTTTCATACTAATTGTTAGGCCATTATTTACACTGAATTGTCGACGGATTTTTCCGTTATTTTCTGATTATGAGAAGGAGCATAGGGCAGGTGTGACAAGTCGGCAAGGGATGCTCACTCCTCCATAGCATCTGAACCCACATCTGATGTTTTAGAGGTCCATGTTTGCTCTTCTCCAAAATTTGTATTGTTTAATGGACTTTTGAGTTTGAATACTGTTCGTTATCGCCATACATTTCATTTTTTTCCATCAATGCTAAATACATTTTCTTTTTTCCCAAGAATTAAGTAATGCTAAACTAAATTTTAGCGTAACAAAACAAATAAAGCAATTTTACGCTTAAATCTCTGCAGAACTTCATACACATGGCTATTGTTTAACAACCTTATTTTCGCACGTGGCGCAGTGGTTAAAGCGTCTGATCTAGAGTTGCGGAGAAAGGAGCTGATGCTTACGTCGCAGGTTCGAATCCACTGCTGGACGTTGAGATCAGTCCTTCTGATGAGACTGTATAAACCGAGGTCCCGTGTCGCAGTAGGTATTGGCACGAAAAAGATCCCTCACTGCTCAATGGCCCTGAGTGCCGAGTATACATGTAGGTATGAATTTGCAGCCTTCCATCGGCAAGTGGTGACGTCCCCAAATAAGTGAAAAATTCTCGAGAGGGACATTGAACAACAAACAAAATAACAGTCTTATTTCATTCACATGGCCAGTTTTATCACCCTTATTTCAAATGCAGCGTTTTCATCCATTTCTCCAACAGTTACTTTGAAGCGATATGCAAAAATTGTAGGGGTATAAACTTTAGCATTTCAAAGTAAATGCAATTAAATAAAACTAAAAAAAACCAAACTTTTTTATCCTTTATCAGTATAAATGTTAGCATTTCAAAATAAATTCAATAAAAAAAAAATGTCTATTATTACATAATATCTCCTGAAAACAATACAGAAAGCTGCAAACCAATAAAATAAAAGTCATGTGTTCCAAGGACGCATGTGTCGCTCGCTTTTTAATTTATTTTTAAAGATTGAAATAAATCTAGGGTGGTCAGACATTTGTTTGCTACTAGTATTATGTCAAAGGAAAATGCACAGGAGCGACGCACGCGGGGATGGGGGGAGCTTTTCTGTGAATACTTCTTGTAAATTTTTATTTGGAAGTTGCTAGCCTCCCCCACTTTCTGTTGATGTAAGGTCAAACACTGCCAAATTCCAACATTAAAAGATGAAACCGAAAAGTTAGGGAAAGGCCCAACCCCCTAACTCCCGCTTACCAACCAACCCCCCTCCCCCCTCCTACACACGAAGTAGGATTTTCGAGTTTGGGCAGTTTATGGGTTTTTTTACGGACCTTAATCCAAAAATAGTAAGTCGAATAGAATGTCATCTATTATAGAAAATCTGACAATCAAACAGAAATATGATACCCTAACCCTCAAGCTAAAGAGAATATTGAAATAGGGCGAAATTTTTTTAAAAAAAAAATATTATTTAAACTAATTATAAGGAGATTTCAGTCTTCGTTTACCACACTTGTCTGTCTACTAGATTCTTTTCATATATCGATCCCGGTGTATTTTTATACATTGTAGTATCTAAATTTCAGTGTGCGTGGTATGAAATATGAAGATGTGGTATCTGAAAGCATGTAGTCTCATAGTACAGTGTCATGTGCTATAAATGCTAATTATAAAAACCTTGCCTCACAAAATAAAGAAAGAAAAATTAAATCAACCATCCGGAGTATATTTGCATAGTAGGTCAAACGTCAAGGTCAAGTGGACTGTAACGCTGGTATTTTTCATATTTAATGATTTGTGTCAAACAGTGCACATGCTAAATAACATAGACTTACCACTTAAATGTCAAAGTAAAGCAGCACAATTAACTATTTCGTAGGTTAAAGGTCAAATTCAAAGGTCTCGAGGTTGGTAACCATGATTTTTTACAAAAGTCAAAGTACCAAGCAACATGTGTGCAAAATATCAAATCCATAACTTTTAGTTTTCAAGATATAGGATGTAACAGACGGACAGACAGACAGATGCCGGAAAAAGTGATCCCTAAGTGTCGCTCTGCTCTACAGGTGACACGAAAAAGTAGTCCGTCACGCGCAATGTTCGCACAAGTGGTTACATCAAATAGCCACAATGGATATTCTCCAAATATCGTATTTTAACATTTAATTACTAGTGGTTACATTATCAGAATATTATCGCCTATTTATTATATACTACATGACTGTATACATTTATTCCCTTAATAACACAGCTATCATATCAGTATGATTGCCACGTTTTTTTAATGATTATCAAGTCTTCCATTTCAGAATGAGGCTCACACCAAGATAGTGACCGTGGATGAGTACGGTAAAAAATACAATGTATTTACATTTAACAAAATATTGATGACAGGTGAAGAAAACGAACAATGATAGATCTCAAAAAAATCTACAAACAATACAAATTTGTGAAGAGGGTATAATAAACAGACCCCCGGATAATCCAAAGGTGGGATCAGGTGCCTAAGAGGGGTAAGCATCCGCTGTTGAAACTAAATGTAATTATGTTGAATTTTCGAAGCGAAAGACCACACATAACTCATTTTTACATGGAGGGGCACTGCTTCGTCTGCATTCACATTTTTTACTGTGTGTATAATAAAATTTGACAAAGCTAAACCACCTTCACTTCTCATATCCATTTGTTTTTTCTTTATTTTTTGTTCCTCCAAAGCTTATTTACTTGTCCTTTTTATTGTTATTATTTTTTTTTTCATTTTTTAAAATCTTTTGTTTTTTCGTAACATTGATGTGAATTTGAATTTGTTGGGTACATATCCCACCTTAAATGATTTATTTTTTATTCTGTATAATTTTTTATTTCGAATAAGAAGTCTTGTTGTTAAAACTGTGTGTATTTTAATTTCTGGTTAAATTATTATATTTCAATTGTTATTTATTGCTTTTTATTCATTTTCGAATTCTCTCTCTTGAAATCTTGAGAGAGCACAACTCTACACGTTTCAGGTTACGCCATAAATAATACAAAACTACGTAGAAACTCATATAAAATAAATATTTCCAGATTGATGTATGAAGAATTCGAAATTTTGTTGTAACATTTCCTTGCAAAGTTTACGCTTAATGAAGGTCTTTATTGTAAATTACAGCTTTGTTTTATTGTTCTAACCCTTGATTTACATAATTTAGTATTGCCAAAGTTTGATGTGACACTGGATCTTCCACCATACGGTCTGAGCAACAGAAGCTTAACGGGAATAAAAGTTACTTCCAAGTATGTATACATTATCATGATGGATTTGTAATACGGTCAAATACTAAAAGGCTAATAATCTTATATAGAGATTCTAAACACTCTTATGCATCAAGAAATGAAAATTACAAAATATCTTTGAGTTTTCCACTCACCGTACCAGTAAGTCTGCTATTTTCGACAAGAAAAAAGTTTGTTATTCCATATTCATAGGTACACGTTTGGTAAACCAGTAAAAGGGATTGTAGACATAAGAATCCGTTCCCCATACACCGACTATTTGTCAACATACCAGCAGCTCAGAAAATGCCAGGGTTATATTGATGAAATTTTTCATAGTGCTCCAGTAAGTTTTTCTAACTATTAACGTCATACTTACATGGTGTAAATGTACCGCTAAAAGTTCTTTTAAGAAGTGATAAAGTTCGTTTTCAATAAAAAAAAAAGTAGGATTGATTGATTGATTGTATGTTGTTCAACGTCCCATTCGAGAATTTTTCACTCATATAGAGAGGTCACCATATACCGGTTAAGGGCTTCAAATTTTGACCTTTACTCGGCACTCAGGGCCATTGAGCAGTGAGGGATCTTTATCGTGCCAACGCCTGCCGTGACGCGGGGCCTCGGTTTTCAAAGTCAGATTTGAAGGACCCGCAACTTTCACTTCAAAGTGCCGAGCGCATGGCGAAGGAACAGTTGCTACCCATTTTTAGGTCACCTGAGTCACTTAGGTGACCTATTGCTATCTGTTTTCGTCCGTCGTCGTCCCTCGTGTGTCGTCCGTCGTCCGTCGGTCGTAAACTTTTGAACATTTTCAGCTTCTTCTCTTGAACCTCTGAACCAATTTCAACCAATTTTGGCATATAGCATTAATGGGTAAAGGGATACAAAAACTGTGAATTTCATAGTCCCTGACCCCCTGGGGCCTGAGGGGTGGGGCTAAAACCATCAAAATTAGTGCTATCTTTAAAAATCTTCTTCTTTACTCCTGGTCATCAAGCAGTCAAACTGTTGGCATGATTGTAATAAGCATTGAGCCCTCTAAAAAAAATTTGAAATTCATAGCCCCAGGTTCGGGGGTTATATAGGTTATATAGTGAAAGTGCATTATTTGTTTGAAAATCTTCTTCTCTACTCCTAGGTATTATTTAAACAAATTAAATACATAGTTATGATAAGCAAGAGTGACTCTACCAAAATTGTGAAATTCATAGCCCCAGGGTCAAGGGTTCTGGTGCTAGGGCAAGTGCATTATTTCTTTGAAAATCTTCTTCTCTACTCCTGGTTATTATTTAAACAAATTAAATACATAGTTATGATAAGCAAGGATGCCTCTTCCAAAATTGTGAATTCATTGTTATGATACGCAAGGATGCCTTGTCCAAAATTGTGAATTTCATAGCCCCAGGGTCAAGGGTTCTGGAGAAAAGGGAGGGGAGGGGGCTCTATTGAATATATAGTGAAAAAGCAAAATTTCTTTGAAAATATTCTTTTCTGCTCCTGGTTAAAAAGCAAAGAAGCTGAGTGTATAGTTATGATGAGCAAGAGTGCTTCAGTAGTGAATTGCGTGACCCCTGAGTCAGATGTGCTGGTGTAAGGGTGGGGCTCTTGATAATATAGTGAAAATGCATTAATTCTATTAAATAATCCTGTCTGCTCTTAGTGTTAAGTAGATAAACAAAGTGATTACTTATGATGAACAAACTTCTGGTCCCAGAGTGAGAGGCTCTGGTGTTTCCCGCTGGGGGGGGGGGGGGGGCTCTGTTGATAAGATAGTGAATCTGTAATAAAAATGCATTATTTCTTTAAAAATCATCTCTTCATCTGGGCATATCAGAGGCAAAAAGAGTAAAAGTTTTAAAAAGGAAGAGTATTTTTACCAGATTTTTGAACATCTGGACCATTTGTTGAAGTGTTCTGGTCCTGGCCAGGGCTCTATTAATTTGTATTCTACTGAGAGGAGTTATCCCCCTTTGCCATTTACTTTTGATAATTAATCACTGTAAATAATGTACTTGAAAGGTCAATAGAATAAGAGAATTATGCAAAAATTTTATTGTATAATACAAAAAGTACTTCACCTTTCATTTCATTTTATACTCTATGGATCCTCTAAATTGTTGTATTATACTCAGGTGACCGTTAAGGCCCTTGGGCCTCTTGTTTATCTACTTAGATCAGTCGCGGCCGAGATTCGAACTCACGACCTCCCTATCACGGAGCGAGCGCTCTACCAACTGAGCTACCGTGAACGGTAAAAAAAGTAGGAAGTAATACCGTTATTTTTTAATTTGTCAGGAAATTGGTGGAAAGACAAGCAATTGTCCGTGGAACTATTGTTCAGTTAACATCTACATGTATACAAACATGCTTCTAGTGTATTGTTAATTTCCTGTAGTACTCTAACTTTGAAAAAGAATAATCTTCAAGTGCTATATAAAATGTCTCCCTTTTAATATATAAAACTGCATTCTAACAAAAATTAAGCTAAAACATCTTTTTTCTATTTTGAAGATAAATGGAGAGTATAAATTTGATGTTGAAAAGACAAAACTGACGACCCTGATGGAGAATTTAGGATACAGATTAGACTATGGAAGTCTCGCCATTGAAGTGAATGTAACTGAATCGATAACTGGTTTACGTCAAGGCGCCTCCGGAACTATCACATTCTATCCATTTGAAAACAAATTAAAGTTTCTTAACTCTCTTCCTTTTACATTCAAACCTGGACTTAACTACACGGTTCTGGTAAGGGACGAGGAAGATACTTTACATTTTTTCTATAAAATAAAAAAACAAATTCACCTCTATTTCTTTCGGTAAACACAGATGTTTATAAAGTTGAATTCATCATTTCTAATTCATTTATATATATATATATATATATATATATATATATATATATATATATATATATATATATATATATATATATATATATATATATATATTGTACTAATACAGGGTAGGCTGACCCGACAAGATAATTCAATAGTTTCCCTCCCAACTGCTTCAAGAGTAAAGCTGACTATTACCCAAACCCTCCCTCTCCCCTCCTCCAGTATCTCCTCCTCCAACTCTACGTCTGACCGTTTGTCAGAATTAGGCTTACCTCCTGAAATTACGATAAACAACATCACTAAAGAAACCACATCAATAGAACCAGAGACGGATGATCTACAACAAAATAATTCAACAATGGACAGTCCTTTTGTAGTTGAGACAATGGAATCCGCGTTAGATCTGGATTCAATCAGCGATTTTAAAACGAAAACCTTGATTCCAGTCTTTCTCGACATTGACGCCAGTGGATTTTTTAAATATGAAATGACCATTCCAGACAAAGTCGCAAAAATATTTTTAAAAGTAAGAATCCATTGAGATGTTTTCTGTTTCTGTCATGATTACAAAATTTAAAAACCCATACTTTGTGTTAGAGACTTTTTAGCTCACCTGAGCCGAAGGCTCAAGTGAGCTTTTCTGATCGAAATTTGTCCGTTGTCTGTCGTTGGCGTCGGCGTCGTTGTAAACTTTTCACAATTTCATCTTCTTCTCCAGAATCACTGGGCCAATTTCAACCAAACTTGCCACAAAGCATCCATAGGTGAAGAGGATTCAAGTTCGTTCAAGGGGAGATAATAGAGAATTGGTGAAAAATTAATAGCATCTTTTAAAAATCTTCTTCTCAAGAACCACAGGGCCAGGAAAGATGAAACTCATGTGGAAGCATCCTCAGGTAGTGTAGATTCAAGTTTGTTCAAATCATGACCCTCGGGGGTAGGGCGGGGCCACAATGGAGGATCAAAGTTTTACATTGAAATATATTGGAAAAATCTTTAAAAATCTTCTTCTCAAGAACAGCAAAGCCATGATGAGTCATATTTATATGGAAGCATCCTCAGGTAGTATAGATTCAAGTTTGTTCAAATCATGACACTCGGGGGTAGGGCGGGGCCACAATGGGGGATAAAAGTTTTACATAGAAATATATTGGAAAAATCTTTAAAAATCTTCTTCTCAAGAACAGGAAAGCCATGTTTTGTCATATTGATATGGAAGCATCCTCAGGTAGTGTATATTCAAGTTTGTTCAAATCATGACCCCTGGGGGTAGGGTGGGGCCACAATGAGGGCTCATAGTTTTACATAGGAATATATACGGGAAAAAACTTGAAAAATCTTCTTCTCAGGAACAGTAAAGCCATGTTTTGTCACATTGATATGGAAGCATCCTCAGGTAGTGTAGATTCAAGTTTGTTCAAATCATGACCCCTGGGGAAAGGGTGGGGCCACAATGAGGGATCATAGTTTTACATAGGAATATATAAGGGGAAAAAACTTTAAAAATCTTCTTAAGAACAGCAAAGCCATGTTTTGTCATACTGATATGGAAGCATCTTCAGGTAGTGTAGATTCAAGCTTGTTCAAATCATAACCCCCAAGGGTAGGGTGGGGCCACAATGTGGGATCAAATTTTTACATAGGAATATATAGGAAAAAATCTTTTCAACAACAGAAAAGCCATGGTTAGTCATATTGATATGGCAGCATCCTCAGGTAGTGTAGATTCAAGTTTGTTCAAATGGGGGGGGGGGGGGGTAGGGAGGGTCCACAATGGGGGATCAAGTTTTAAACAAGGGAATATATAGGAAAAAAATCTTTAAAAATCTTCTGCTCAAGAACAGCAAAGTCATTTGTTATATTGATATGGAAGCATCCTCAGGAAGTTCAAAATCCAAGCCCCCCCCCCCCCCTTTTAAACTTTTCAATACTGAAGTGATTTGTGCTTTTTCCTAGCCAATGTGCTCAGGTGAGCGATGTGGCCCATGGGTCTCTTGTTTTAAGGTTAACCATTATTTTACCCATTTCAGGCCGAGTACAATGGTGTGTTTTCTTACCGTAGTCTGCAGCTCAGTAAATCCCCTAGTAACAACTTCATGCAAGTTAGACTTCTTAACACAGACGTCAAACCAAAGGTTTCTCTCTTGTTTTCCTCACTCTGAATGTATTATTCACATCGATTTTAAAAATATCAAATAAAGTCACGATCTTGCCATTGGACAACAACCTGCCTTAGATTTCTCTCTCTCTCTCTCTCTCTCTCAATACTTATATTTTCATTTTTTCAGACAGGATCTATCTCAACATTTGAAATAAGGACCACTGAATTTACTTCCAAAATATACTATCAAGTTAGAATTTATTTTCGTCTGTATAAATATTTTCCAATCTAAATAAGGAAAAGAGTATTCTTTCAGATCTGTTTGTTAATTTTTATTTTAACCCAGGTGTATTTAATTTTGCATGTTCTGTTATTGTTACACTTAAGCTCATTTTGGTCTTTGCTCAACAATGATGTAATAAAATCCTATTGATCTGAACGTATTGTTTTCCACATACCTTACAGATTCTTTCAAAAGGCCAGGTTGTCATATTAGAAGATTTGGATATGCAGTTTTCAAAATTGAAGAAATTTAACTTATCAATAACACAGGAGATGGTGCCGAAGGCTCGTCTTCTCGTCTATTATATCAGAGAGGAAGGGGAAATCGTCACAGACGCTATTAGCTTTGATGTTGATGGAATATTTGAAAACAAGGTAATTTATAAATTCATACTCAATTTGAATTTTTGGGGAATCTACAAATGCTATCCAAAGTTAGACTTGGTCTCTTTAAGATGTTGACGGTGCGACCGTTGTGGCGCGCGCAGCCGTGTATCGATAACGGGATATGTATGCGTGTGTGTATGTTCTTTAAAAACTTTATTGAACAATCTTTTAAGTGTATTAAAAGTAAAATCAATTTTTGTCTATTAAAATTACTGGAATAAAAAAGTCTATTGGATCAATGTTGTTCAAAGTTTCTCTTCGCCCAGGCTATGTCGTTAGAACTCTCTGTGCATGCTTTTAGTAAGTATCATGGATAAAATATGATTATCTTTCCAATCCAGTAAGAACTTAACTAGTAGGGTAATCAAATATATGAGAAATTCTTTTGAACTTTTTAATCATATCATAGGTAGAAATAGACTTTGACGTGCAGGAGACACGCCCTGGAAAAGAAGTTGTGGTATCTGTCAAAGCGGATCCCGATTCTACAGTTCATTTGTTGGCGGTGGATAAGAGTGTTCTGATTTTACACAGTGACAATGACATTCAAGAAAGCAGGGTAAACACAGCCTTATGATATCAGTTCTATCAAAGAAATGGAGAATTTCATACCACTTTTCATTAAGTCAGGAGAATTGAATATTTTCCCTAATATATATTTGATAATACATGATTTTAAGCATGTGGTTTATATAAAAGATTTGAATAAAATCATTTGGCAATATAAAAGATGATACTATGAAATATGAAGATATTTATACGGGATTGTAGGTGAAAGATGATGTGAACAGTTACGACCAGGATTGTTCGGGTTATATCTTGGGATCCTGTGTTCGATATGGATTTGGGATGTTACCCATGCTCTCTGGAGCAGAAGATGCCTATGAATTGTTCAAAGTATGACCAAAAATGTATTCAGAATGTTTCATGCTTGATTGATTGTTGAATTGTTCTGATCGTTTTGATTTTTTTTTTAAAAAGGCAATAGGGGCAAAAGGAAAACCTAAGATAATGTAACAAACAGAAAATTCAATGTTGTGTAGTTGGATCTGGAATTTATTTCACGAATGGAGCAGGTTTTTATTTTTTTTTTTACTCTTCGCACTTGTGAAAATATAAAAAAGAAATCATGTCCCACTTTAGAAATAAATTTCGTATCAAACTACAAAACATTTGATATACTTTATACCGTTGATATCGGTTATATATCGTTTTCCTATCAACAATTGTTAAGTCACAATGGTTTTTGCATGAATTTGATGAATTTAAATGAAGTGGATTCACATATAGAAAAAGTGTCAGGTATGTGATAGCTATACATATATATTAATCGTGTTATAAAAAGAATCTCCCATGGCTTGTTGGTTATGATTTTTATCCGACGAGTTGTTTGTTTTCTATCCCCTAAAATACTCAACTCGTTGGATAAATATCATATCCAACCACAAATCATGAGAGATCCTATATCTATGTTTGTTTACAATGGAGATATTGATAAAGGGAGGAGGGGATTTTATTACATGTGAAATTCAGCTGAATAAACCTACTGGATAAATGTAAAATATTGGTTATTTCATCTTCAATGTCTTTTTTAAAGATATTTTTACATAAACTTTTTCTTATCATAATGGAAGATTTCTGGAAATATATGTGATTTCTTAGAACTGTTGATATATCCGAATTAAACATAAGTTTCATTTCTGTGTTGTGGTGGTAGTTTTTGATAAGAGTTTTTGTGTATACTTATGTCATTTATGATTGTAGCAAAACGGTTTGGCTGTTCTTACGGACGCAATAGTTTATCACTACGTGGAACCTAGTGAGTATTATATTCCCTTCTGTTGATTCTGTAATAGCCCATTTCGGTAACACATAATCATACTAATTTATTTTCAGTTAATTATTTCAAAGAACAAAACAGGCATATTTGCAATAGTTAGAGTGATAATAATAATGATATTTGTGTATAACTTTGCTCATTATGATTACGGGTAAATTCTACACAGAAAGTGAACAAATGTGATGAAAACATTTAACTTTAAAGTTAACAGTATTATATACATTCTGTTTATTTCACATTCCGATATGGACCTGCTTTGGAATGAGAGTGTTTTGTTCTGATCAATAAATTAACTATGAGTTAATTGAAGCGTACACTTCAATTTTCGATTTTTTTTTTTCGTTTAAGTTACTACTCATTTAAACTAAGTATATCTATCACGCGTTGATTCTATGAAGAAACCCATTTTTAGTTCACGTAAAAATTTCAAATTCTTTTCATCGAAGGACACTTTCTTCAAACAAAAAATTGTATGCTTGGACTGGAATATCTTTTTGGAATAATTTTGGTTGTAAATGATGCACTTATAAAATTCCTAAAATATGAAGCAAATGTAGATTTTCTATGATGTTAACAATTCTCACTTTTTGCCGTTCCCCTTATAAATGTATACAACCTTCTCTCATTTTGTAGGATATGATTTGGAAATCGGGGGAAAAATTACCCTTAAGGTGGCTAATTAAACTTATTCATTTTATTTATATAAACATAGTTTTAGTATCTATTTTCCCTTTGTTTTCTTTATTTAAAAAAAAAAACATATTAAGTGACATTAATTAGCTGAAGGAATAAAACATGGTTAGAATGGTTACAAAAATGACATTTGTGTATGCCTTTCACTTTATTTCAACTACAAATCCATTGTGTACATAACGGGATCTTGTGAATATGAACAAATCTAACAAATGAAATACTTCCTATGGCATTATCTGAGCATATATGTACATGTAAGCCTTCAATTATATATTTTTGAATGTTCGACATAAAATATTACTTTAACCGGTCTTTAATATAGTATCTAATCAAGTAACAAATTTATACTTAATGAATTAATTAGCCCTGAGTGTCTTTCTGTTTATCTGTATGTCATTGAATGAAATGAATTTTAACTTCAGTATGCTGTTGCTTGTGATCTAAAGGTATATTAAAACTTGCCTCAAATCGACTCAAACACATTGACCTTAACTAGATGATAAAATATCGAAAGTTTTAATTTTTTTCAAGAAATATTTGTGTAAATGGTGATAATGACATAGTACCTATCTAAGTGTTATCAAACCTAAAACTATACATGTCATCATCTTGTATCGTTTCATAATGTGCATGTACGTATGTCATCAATATATTGTAATTGAATGGATAGGGAAAAGGGGTCAGTTGTTATTGTCAGAAATCGGCTTGATAAAACGTCAAATTCAAATGATCAATATCTATTCCTGCAATTGATTAAAGTCAGTTTTGATATAAAAAAAATAAAGATAAAATAAAAACATTATTTGATAAAAGACATAACATTGTTAAATTTGAGGTTGGAATTGTTATGAAAGAAACATTCATCTAAAATTCAAATCAATTCCATACAAAGAAAATATTAAGAAGGTTCTGGCAAGTAAGCCGAGACGAGAAGTTTCCTGTTTCACATTTTAATGAAATGGATACTTTCTATTTCAACCGTGGAAGAGTTATGGTTCTTAAGTGCGCTCTTTTGAGAAAAAGTCGGAAAATGTACAAATCTGGCGGGATTTTTGGGACAATCATAACAACATGTAAACAATATGTTGAATATCGATGAAAAAAACGCCTAACAAACATGTTAATGAGACACTATATTGTTGTTGACTTTACATGTATCAGAAGTAGAAACGACAACGATATCAATTTATATCTATTACAGGAAGTTGTTGACAAGTGTTGACGGCCATGTCCAAATACAATGTACATGTATCGAAAACGTCGTAATTTTTTATCAATGGATAATAAATTCAGGGCTTTCGCACTCTCACATATGTGTATTAGTTCTATTTTTTTAATGGGAATGACAAATACATTTATATCCACAAATTTTGCTATGTACAACTCAAATAAAAAACTGGCAATTTGCTGCTCATTTTTTGCTAAATCGCATATATTTTAAAATTAGAGAAACAACGTTATATGAGTGAAAATGTCATTTATTCAAATAAATAACGAAAACAGACAAAATATAAAGTACATGCCTCGAAAACGTCAGTACAGTACAAATATTTAATTGGCTGGGATATAAAGATATAAAGTCAAGCAAACAATGTTTAAATCTGACTAGATTCAATTAGAGAACATGACGATTAGTCATATAATGGAAATCCCAGCCAATACGACTTCAAGAAAGCTAACTACAATAACCAACAAAAAAGGTGGTGAAATACATTTAACATTAAAAATCAGATTTTTGCATTCTCCGCTACGTCATGGTTGCCTCAGTCAGACGATCAACGCGCCTCTAATTTGAAGAGTTCAAGTAATGAAAATCGAAAGTATTAAGAATTCTGTTCTTAGGAGTTGCATACATGTCTTGTAACATTGTGTATGAAATATACCAGAATTACCAGTGTGTTCTGCTGAATAATTATACCCTCGCTCCGAAGGAGAGGGGGTATACTGTTTTACCTTTGTGTATCTGTCTGTCTGTCTGTCTATCTGTCCGTCTAGCTGTGTGTCTGTCTGTCCGTAACAAATTTTGGTCGCAGTTTTCTCAGCAACTGCTCATTGCAGATGCTTGAAATTTTAGCACACTCTTTGTTTGGGCATGCCATATGGTGGGGTTCATTTTTGTACGAATCCGATGTCAACTTCCTGTTTATCCATGCGTCTGTCCATATGTTTACCATACATAACAAATTTTGGTCTCAGTTTTCTCAGCAACTACACATCAGAGATGCTTGAAATCTTAGCACACTCTTTATTTAAGTATGCCATATGTTGGGATTCAGTTTTTGTAAAGATCCATTGTTTACTTCCTGTCCATAACTGAACTTGTATATTCACATCAGATCAGAGCGGGGGTATTATTAGTGAGCACTGGCTCACAGACGTCTTGTTTTGTCATTCATGTGCATTCAACAGAGACTTTTATGAGTATCAATCATGAAGCGTGACTGAATTCGAGAAGTTGATTCGTGCGTTTGGTTAGTGAGCATAGTGTACTGAGTATCAAGCGCGAATCCTAGGACTAGGCAGTAAAATCGTGCATGTTGTAATTAACCATATTATCTTGCAGGGCCCGTGGAAATGGCAGCTTTAATGATGAGATCGGGGAGGAGAGTGCTTCATTCGACAATAGGGCCAGAAACACGTGTTCGAAGGTTATTTCCAGAAACCTGGCTTTGGCTGAATAAGACTTTAGAGTATGTAAAGTTTCATGTATACCAGTCTTTATAACAGATGGAACTCAATTTTTCTCAAAGATGAAGACTGTCAAGGTAGCTCATTCGGTAGAGCGCTTGCTCCATGATCGGAAGGTCGTAGGTTCGAGCCCCAGCCGCGACTGACCTAAGTCGATGAAAAATAGGTAACAACTGTTCCTTCGCCAAGCGCTCGGCACTTTGAAGTGAAAGTTGCGGGTCCCTCGAATAAGACCTTAAAACCGAGGCACGATAAAGATCCCTCACTGGCCCTGAGTGTCGAGTAAAGGTCAAAATTTGAAGCCCTTCGCCGGTATATGTTGACGTCTATATATGAGTTAAAAATTCTCGAACATGACGTAAAACAACACACAATCAATTAATCAATTTCAAAGGTTTAATTTGAACATTAGAAAAGAGAATGATTTATTAAACTTTAGTAGCATTTTTTTTTCAAATTTTGAACAAAATACTGGTGGTTTTACACTCATTTTAATATATCTGTATGTATTTTGTGTGTCTTTTCATAGTTAAACATGGTTATGTACGTTAAACGCTTGTTAAAGCACTTATTGAAAAAGGAATATTAGTCCTATTTCTAAAGCCATTTTTTTTACACAATTAGCATTTAATTTAGAAAAATTAATTATATTTACAGCGCGGACGGTATGACGTCACTCAGTGTTCCTGTACCTGATACTATAACTACTTGGGTCGCTACAGCTTTTGCTGTCAATCCTAAGTCTGGATTGGGTCTAACCCCGACTCAAGCTAATGTGAGATATATTTCTGGTGTCTTTAAACTGTTAACATCATGTTTGTCCTGTATATATAGCTGTATATAAATGTTTCACCTGTCGTTTTCGAATATATTTGCAAAATTATATAGTTTTCTGCGTGATTAGTGTTAATTTTTCAATAATATTTAACAAGAGATGAGTAAGTTTTGCAAATCAAAACATGACAATATGTAGGTATCGTTCTATTATCCTCGATTCATGAAAGACTGTATTTTTAGATAAAAACCATTATCTAATTATATCAGTGTTATTTGGTTGCAGCTTAAAGTATTCCAACCATTCTTTGTGAGCTTGACCATGCCATACCTTGTAACGCGAGGGGAGCTGGTGGTCCTCCAGGCCAATGTCTTTAACTATCTGAATCACGATATCAGGGTAGGGAAAATGGAATCTTATTTTCAAGAATTTCATGCAAAAAATAATGGAATCTTATTTGCAAGATTTTCATGCAAAAAATAATGGAATCTTATTTGCAAAAAAAAAAAAAATAATAAATCAAATATTAAAAAAGAAGAATCTTATTACAAGCGTTTCTACTTGATTAATTGTACTCTTTAATTCAGTTATTCTTATGAAAATTTTTATTAAAGAAGCTTAAATAATTAAAAAAGCGTATTGCTGAGATCGAAACATCTTTGTGGTTCATGTTTCTAGATGTCACAACGAACATGGGAACATAGACACACACATGAAACATTTAAAATATTTATTTTAATAAAGAGAATTTCCTTTATTCAAAAAGAAATAAAAGTCTGAGTTAGGGAAGGGGAATTTTTCGACGGAGGCCTTAAAATCAGACACAAGTCTATTGCTGTTGCATTGGAGCTCATTAGCATAATTAGATTCTCTAGTTCTTTAATTTGAAATGTTTAATTGCGTAAAATGTGCATAAAAATGTGCATAAAAATTATGTTTTAGTTAGTGTGTCATATAGAGGAATATAAATAATAACCGGTATAGTAAAAACATCCCTATAAAAGATGGAAACATCAGTTTTACGGTCGGAAATACTTTTTAAGTTTAATAAATATTCATGACATAATCACCTCTCTCATGAATATTTATGAAAGCTAGTTTATTGAAGAATTGATAGTTTCCCGATCTACAGGGGATATCTGTTTCCTCAATGGTACTGTTATCAGTTTTTTGTTTATTTTTTACAGAACACACTTGGGATTTATTTTGATGCTTTATATGTAAATATATATATAAATATGCATCGGAAAGAATTCGGTCTCGACTTTCTTTAGACATAATCAAATAACATTCTTAGAAACTTTTTGCTGAGCTTATGTCCCAAGAATCAAATTTGTATTTAGTATCCATAGAGTTTTGATGTAAAATTGAATAATCATATTAAAAGTGGATGAATATCCTCGTAACGTCAAGCTCCTTGCGAAGACGACCAGCAGAAGAAAATACAGAAAATCAAAGTGAAGCGCAACGAAAATATGTAAACAAATTCGTGAGGAGAGTCGAAAACACATGAAATGTTGAAGGTAAATACATAGTATAATCCTTTTGCTGTGTAGTAAGATAATGATTAGTCATTTCGTATCAAATTTCGCATCCGTGCTATCAGGTATGACATAAAGCTGTCAAGATTTAGACTTTGGAAAATGTTTCCATATTCGAAACAAGCAATTATATTTGCAAATTTTCTTTGCAATCATGCAGGTCCAGTACAATCAGTACATTTAGCTACGTAGATTGGATTACCTACCGTAGCTTTTTTTAGCTACTTGAAGTAGCTTTATTTGGCAATTTAATTGTAACTTTTCACAATTTTGCTTTTTATGAAAATAGACAAAAATGACAGGTATATAACTACTAATATTTATACTAGCTAGTTTCTTAAAAATGATCCAAAGAAAAGTTAGTTTAAATATTGCTGCTTTTGAACACGTTTTAGCGAAAGGTGAATTTAAATTCCATTTTTTGAGTAACTGTTACACTATTTTTTTTTTTTTTGGATAAAAATTAGCCATCAGGATGAAGTTTTTATTTTAGGAAATGAAATCTGTGTATCATAATATTAATTTGTATAAGCATTTTTAAGAAGACACGCTTCCATGACTTGTAAGAATTTTTAATACGATTTTCATGAAAATTACAATTTCAAAACTTAGATTGTGCATTAGATTACATTTTCACACCAGTTAAAATACTATGAATGACATATGTGTAGAATTTAATATTATAAGAATAAAATATTTCTTAAGATTTGTTTATGAAAATACAATAATCCCGGTGTTTTTTTCTCTTTTATTTAGTGTGGAAAGAAACGAGGACAATTTAAGTCAATAGCTAGAAATGACGTCGACACTGTAGGCCTAATAAGGAAAATTACTTTCTAGTAAATGGAGCTTAAAAAATAGTGTGACCCCAGAATGCAAAATAGGGGAATTCCTACAGATGCCCCACTCTTTGTTGTCCATAACTCAACAAGGAACACAGTCTTAGATGTTATAGTTTTGAAATAAAAGTTTTGCAAACAACAAAGAATCGATGTATGGGCGAGAAGGACTAAATTTGGCCTAGCCACCCCTTTTTGGGATATAAATCAAAACACCAGTTATGGTATAATAATTTATAAATCGCAGTGATTCTTAATTTGCATGTCTCATGATCACAGATATTTGATTCCTACAAGTATTTATTGGATTGCTCTTAGAGTCTCTCCAAAAGTGTCCTCAACTTTCCTTTTTTCTATTCCTCAGAAAATCCAACAATTTGAAGTGGTCCAGTGTACAGAGGCGGATGCACTCAGGTTGACAGAACCTGCTTTAAAGTTGTCATAATGAACCAAGCTAAAACAGTCCTACAGGGATTTGCAAATACTATTTGATACTGATATTAGGCCTATTCATAGAATACGAGAATTATTTTTTTCCAGTTGTTTTGGTTTCTGTTGTTACTTTTTGTTTTGTATTTTAAAAACATGTAATATAGTAAAAGAAATTTATATAAGGACATTTTTGTATTCATATGAAGCAAAATATGTCCAAAATCTTATACGTGAAAAAAAGAAAAAACTTGCTGTGGCCTTCAACTCGACATTTAGATATATTGACGACGTGTTGTCAATTAACAATGGTTATTTCCATTCTTATGTCGATACGATACATCCCGGTGAGCTTGAGATAAAAGATACCACAGAGTCTGACACATCTGTTTCATATTTGGATATTTCACTTGAAAAAGACGTTAATGGTAATTTAACAACAAATTAAGCTTTATGATAAACGTGATAAATTTAACTTTTCGATCGTCAACTTCCCTTATTTAGGCAGCAATATACCTTCATCACCTACATACGGGGTTTAAATCACTCAGTTGATTTGATACGCAAGAGTATGCTCTGCGTATGTACAATTTCTGAAACGAGGTAAATTATTGACAAACAAGTTGATGAAACAAGAACATCAGCAGTCTTGTTTAAAGTCATCATTTCGTAAGTTCTATGGGCGATACAATGACCTTGTCAGCAAATACAATTTACCATTGAGTCAAATGCTGACTGACGTTTTTTCATACTAATTGTTACGCCATTATTTACACACTGAATTGTCCACGGATTTTTCCGTTATTTCCCGATCATGACAAGGAGCACACGGCTGGTGTGACATGTCGACAGGGGATGCTCACTCCTCCATGGCACCTGATCCCACCTCTGATGTTTTGGAGGTCCGTGTTTGCTCTGCTCCTATTTTGTATCATTTAATGGACTTTTGAGCTTGAATACTGTTCGTTATCTCCATATATTTCATTTAAAGACATTCTTTATTTTTTCCTTTTTCTATACTAATCTTGCAATTTGTTATCATAATTTCATTCAGTTGAACCAAATTGAAAACAAGTAGACATTCAAAACCATGGAACAATTGTTATCACCATTTTTTTCTACATCATAAGAGTATTGTACATTTCAAGTCTTAAATGTATCTATATTTTTTTCTGTTGTTCATTTTGACACCAAATTGTCTCATCAGTTTCAGGTAAATAAGATTTAATAGAAAGATTTTTTTTTATTCTTGAATCTTTTTTTTTTTTTCAAGTTGAAAAAGGTTATTTCGAATTTTGAAAGAATACATTTATTCAAAAAGAAACATCAACAAAGTATAAGTACCATTATAAGGTGGACCAGAAAAGAAAAGGAAAAAGGGCCGTTTGAAAAATTAATATAAAACTTCGAAATATCTTAAAGTGTGTATTTTACCCTGCTGCACTATCAACTTAACAAAATTCACAGGTGCATATATGTTTTAACTCTGATATGATTATCTTGATCATGGTAGCCTAGTGGTAGGGCCAACAAACATTTTCTTGTGTATTTTTTATTTCGTAAGTCTGTAAATTAAAATTCCAATTATGTTCACTTTGCTTTATTTGAGAAAAAAGCATTGGTACTCAATACCTGAGAAAAGTGTCATAATAAATACATGTCTGTACTCATTTTTTAATATTTTAGTCCAGTAATCTGTGTCTAATTGTTCTGAATTATAATCAAATTATGCACAGAAGAATTAAATTGTACGATTTTTTGAAGCAGATTAAATAAATGATCCAACGGCACAAAAACATTCTCTGACCTGCACAATACTATTGAAAAGAAACAAAAGACATTCAGCGTTTTGTAGTTGGATATTAAATTTATTTATTTTATGAGTGGGACAGTTTACAATTTTTACAATTTGTCCTTTTTTCCCCTTATTAACCAAAGAGTTTTGTTGTTATTTTCACATTGCAAAATTAATTATTATCAATAACATTTATCAATTTTATTCAATGGATATATTTAAGTATTTCACAGTTGAAAACGTAATTAAGTTAAAACAAATAATGATTGAATATATAAAATATACAATGAGTGAAAATATAAAATGTTTATGAATTGATTTACCATCTTAGTGATAAAAAAAACAAATTGTTATTTTTATACATAAAAAACAGGCAGTAAGCAAGGCGAAAAAAAATTAAAAGACATTTGGTTTGAAAAAAAAATAATTTTGACAATGCCTTGTCACCTCTATCCAGGATGACCAATATTCATGTGAAAGTTCACATTTCGTAATGATATTTCATAAGGTAAATTGCATTTATTAGTTGTGTGATTTTTAAACTATCTTTTCATGGTTACTCTTTTCAGGTTCTCGTTATTATTGATAAAAATGAAGCTTTCAAGAACATTGTGACCTACGTACAAGACAACCAAGTCAAATCTGGGAGATTTCCAACCAAAATAGGACGTACATTCAATGTATGTACATTGTGTCTTAACGTCTAGTGTTTAATCTACAATATACAATGTATTTATAATATTCATGTATCTTTAAATCATTTATAATTACTTTCAACTAAAATATGTAGCAATCAGTATAAAGCAACCTGGAAACGTCAATAAATCCCATTTTTGAATACTTTTATCTAAACAGAAGAGGCTGTTTAGTCAGTTTTTTAGTAATTCAGTTTTTGACTATCCTTAATATTATCATCATTGGACGTCTTTTCCCTCTTCAAGAAAAGGCTTTTTTTATGACCAGTGATTTGTTTTTTACTCACATCGTTTTTGCAAGTACTTTATTGTATTGCATTTGCCTTTTTAGATGGCACCTGGGGAGATCTATCCTGTATATTTTCCTATTATTCCTTCTGAGGTTGGTGATTTTAAGATTAACATCACCGCCACCGCAACAGGTGCTAGTGATGCCATTATTCGGACTCTCAAAGTGGAGGTAGAAATATTAATTACACAATTTCAAAATCCTTTTTTGGGGGGGTCAATTGATCAAACATATAGCCTGGATATGTTTATATACGTATTTCCTCTCTTTATCTACCTCTAAAAGAACGGAAAGAATAAATAATCTGATATAGACGATAACCATAATTCATAGCATAATACTTACACATGGGATAAAGGAAACGTATTTATGAAATTTATTTTAGCCCGAGGGAGTAGAGAAGGAATTTAACAATCCTGTGTTGATAAAAACTGGAAATAGTGGAATATACTCTGAAGATGTTGCAATATCATTTCCACCAAACACTGTGAACGGATCAAGGCGTATCAGAGCATCAGTTATTGGTTTGTTTGTTGTTGTTGTTTTATTTTCTTTTTTCCTTTTTTTTTAGGGGGCTGGTTTTAGTAAATTTTGTTTGCTATGAATGTGCAACCTTTTTTATAATAATAGAATCTTCCCGATTATTGACATAAAGCTTATACTTATAGATGTCTCTGGTTATCTAATATTTCACTCATTCAGGAGATTTGATGGGTTCATCCATCAATGGAGTAGACTCCCTGCTGAGAATGCCATATGGATGTGGAGAACAAAACATGCTGAACTTTGCTCCAAATATCTTCGTGCAGAAATATCTTACAATCACAAATAATCTCACTCCAAACCTAGAAAAGAAAGCTAAAGAATACATGATCAAAGGTTCATTTGTTTACTTATTCTTTATATAATACATACATATCAATATTTACTTATTCTTTATATACCTATTAATATATATATATATATATATATATATATATATATATATATATATATATATATATATATATATATATATATATATATATATATATATATATATATATATATATATATCCAGATATTTGTACTTACTTTTGTCAGGTTACCAGCGGCAAATGACATACGTCCATGCTGACGGATCATACAGCGCTTTTGGAAAGAGTGACGCTTCAGGCAGTACTTGGTAAGAAACAGATTTATTTACCTGTATCCGAATTTGACTAAATTTCAAATGCAAAAGAATAATTGAAGCAACACTGTCTTTTTAATAAAAAATGAGAAATGTTAAACTCTCTTTTATTAACGGACTTGTTGAGTGGGTAAAAGAATATTTTCGTTCTGATTTGACCATCGGGATGCTTTTCTTTCTTCAGTTATAAAGATTATGGCATTTGAGTCACTCTAGTGACCTATTGCTATCCGTGTTTGTCTGTCATCGTGCGTCGAGCGACGTGCGTCGTCCTTTGTCCGTTAACATTTCAACATTTTCAACTTCTTCTCTGAACCAGTTTGAACCAATTTTGACATATAGCATCTATATCTATGGGTAAGGGGAAAAAATCGTGAATTTCATGGTCCCTGCTCCCCTGGACATCAAACAGTCAGACTGTTGGCATAATTGTAATAAGCATTGGGTCGTCAACCAAAATAATGAAATCCATGGCCCCAGGACCAGGGGTTCTGGTGTAAGGGCGGGGTTGTATTGGTTATATAGTGCAAATACATTAATTCTTTGAATATCTTCTTCTCTGCTCCTGGGTATTGAACAAAGTAACATGTACATAGTTATGATGAACAAGACTGCCTCTTCCAAAATTATGAATTTCATGGCCCTTCGGTCAGGTTTTCTGGTGTTAGGGTGGGGCTCTATTGAATATAGTGAAAATGCATTAATTCTTTGAATATCTATTTCTCTGTTCCTGGGTATTAAACAAACAAACTAAGTATATAGTTATGATGAGCATGGCTGTCTCATCCAATATTGTAAATTTCATGGACCCTGTATTAGGGGTTCTGGTATAAGGGCGGGATTCTATTGATTTATTTGCATTAATTCTTTGAAAATCTTTTCTGCTCCTCTGCTGGGTATTATTTAAACAAACTAAGTACATGGTTATGATAAGCAAGGGTGCCTCTTCTAAAATTTTGAAATTCACGGTCTAGTGGTTCTGGTGAAAGGAGGGGGGGGTCTCTTGATTATATAGTGAAAAGCATAATTTCTTTGAAAATATTCTTTTCTACTCCTGGTTGTAGAGCAAAGAAACATATTGTATAGTTAAGATGAGCAAGATTGTTACTTCCAGAATTGTCAGATTCTTGGCCCCTGGGTCAGATGTTCTGGTGTAAGAATAGGGCTCTATTAACAATATAGTGAAAATGCATTAGTTGTATTATATAATGTTGTCTGCTCCTTAGTGTTGAGCATCTGCTCCTTAGTATTGAGCAGATAAACAAAGTGCATAGTTATGATGAACTTACAAACTTTTAACACTTTTGTGGTCCCAGGGTTAGGGGTTCTGGTGTTTCTCAGGAGGAGGGATTTATTGATAATTGATACATAGTGAAAATGTGTTAATTCTTTGAAAGTCTTCAACTGTATAGTTATAATGAGGGTACTTCTTCCAAATTTGTGAATTTCATGACCCTAGGTCATGGGCTCTGATGTTAGGGTAGGGCTATGTTGAATCTATAGTAAAATGCTAAGTTTCTGTGAAATGCTTCCCTGCTCCTGGGCCTATCTGAGGCAAACAGAGTAAAATTTCCTTTCTTAAGCAAGGAAATTTTTACCAAATTTTTGAGCATCTGGACCATTTGGTTAAGTGTTCTGGTCCCTAACAGGGTTCTATTAATCATTTATTCTACTGAAAGAAGTTCTTCCCCTTAGCATTCATTTTTGATAATAAGTCACTGTAAATGAAGTATCTGAAAGTGTAATAGAATAAGAAAATTATGCAATAATTTTTATTGTATAATACAAAAATTACTTTCATGGTTTTAATGATCACGTAGTTATATTTAATAAATAAATAAAAATGAGACAAAAATAACTTTTCTTATTATGTTCTTCAAAGACCAAGAGAGGCCAATGTGAGGAGTTACAATATGGGGTTAAAATTGTACAGAAGCACATGGTGATAAATGGGGGAATTAGAACTTTATTTATGAGTTGTTTCTAAATACTAGACTAATTATTGCGTTGGTCCTGATCATCCTATTTCTTGGCTTTTGGGCAAAAAAGCTTCATCTATCAGTTTTTTTACTCTGTGGATCCTCTAAATTGTTGAATTGAAGTAATACTCAGATGACCATTAAGGCCTTTTGTTGAAGAATGAACTTAATTACAGGTTGACTGCTTTTGTCGTGAAGTCGTTCTCTCAGGCTTTGGGTTTTATCACCATTGATGAGAATGTCGTAAAGAAAGCCGTGACGTGGCTTGTCTCTCAACAGAACGAAAATGGAACATTTAGAGAACCAGGCAGAGTCCTAAACAATAGAATGCAGGTAATACGAGGAAAAGTATTGTCCTCATGTGTCAATAATGAAAGAAGAAAAGAGCAGGGACAGAGGGCTTTTTTTAAAAGAAAGGATTGCTAATTTTAAATTATGGGGACAGAGGTGTGAAAGGTGAGAGAGATCGTTTGCTGTTTAAAGTCCCTTGCATATTTTTTTTCACTCTTATAAGTCGACACGGCGGGTGTAACCAGTCGGCAGGGGATGCTCACTCCTCCATGGCACCTGATCCCACCTCTGATGTTTGGAGGTCCGTGTTTGCTCTGCTCCTATTTTGTATTGTTTGATGGACTTTTGAGTCTGAATACTGTTCGTTATCTTCATATATTTCATTGCTTAACTTTTGTTACGCACCCACTCACTCAACCCCCACCCCCACCCCACACGCACACACACTCGAGCGTTAATGTATCCTCTCCAACGTTGTTGCGAGGGGATAAACTGATTTTTCTTTTTGCAATGGAAACACAATTTTATTTTTTACATTTTCCTTGGAGAATACTTTTATCATTCAAAATGAATAAATCGTTGACGTCACTAGGTTTTAAATATTGAGCATATTGAGTTTTTATATGTTCTATGTCATGAGGTATGTGAACTGTTGCTACAGTTTGATTTATTAATCAGTGTAAATTAATTTGAGCAGTAATAATTATGGATGATTTCTGAGATATAACTGAACGCAAGTGCCATACTTTGCAGCTATAATTGTTGAACTACAACTTTTGGCTTTCTGCATTGAACAAAAACGTTAATGTTGATTTTCGAAAATCTGTTGCTTATTAAAAACACTTTTTCTTTGCTTCAATTTAAACAATATGGCATAAAATACATAAAATGAGTCGGAACTGAGACAACCCGTAATTGGAGACCTCACTGTACGTAGGCAAGCTACATGTATATATATATATATATATATATATATATATATATATATATATATATATATATATATATATATATATATATATATATATATATATATATATTTATTTATTTATATATATATATATATATATATATATATATATATATATATATATATATATATATATATATATATATATATATATATATATATATATATATATATATATATACTAGACGAAATCCCGTGCAAACGCGGGAATTGAATTCTAACAATTCCAGTAATATATAATATAGTTTCTAGTGAAAGTTTTTTACAGACTTATAGCGGGAAGAAATATTTTGTTCAAAGTCACGTAGTTAGTTTCAGAGCAGAAGTAGATATACGCCCCCACCCCTCCCTTTTTATAAAACTTGAAAAATAACAATGACATTAATTGAGGCTTCTTTTGACACCTGTTATACTATGTTATAGATATTATACTACGGGTGCTTCTATTCCATTTCCAGCAAGGATAAAAGAAGCGAATATCCACAGTTTACTGATAAAGACTTCGTCGGCACATTTTTTTTAATAAAAAATAGCTTTTAACACCCTAGGTATTGGCCTAGTATTTGATACAGACTTTTTTCAGAAAGAAAAACAAGATTTGTTTGTGAAAAATGATGCATCCGTATTGCAACTTATAGCAAAGTTTAAGTTTCTCTAATGCAAATCAGATATGTTGGTACCCAAAGTAAGGTCTTGTCTCGAGAAATATTCCTGTGAAACATGAAAGCCCTGGCAGCAACCATTGAATAGATATTAAAAAGCTAACGTTTTTTCAAAAGTAAGTCAAACATCAAGGTTAAATGGTCAAAATTAAAGGTGCCCAAGGAAAGGCCTTCTCACAAAAAATACACATGTGAAATATGAAAGCTGTAGCACCAATTGTTCAAAAGTTATGGCCAAGGTTAAAGTTTTTCAAAGGTAGGTCAAACGCCAAGGTCAAGGTCAATGGATTACAATTGTTGGTATTCATAGGAAGGTCTTGTCACAAAGAATAGACACGTTAAATATGAAAGCCATAGCACCAACTATTCAAAAGTTATGACCAAGATTAAAGTTTTCTAAAAGTAGGACAAACTCCTAAGTCAAGGTAAAAGGGTCAAAGTTGTTGGTATCCAAAGGAAGGTCTTGTCACAAGGATTACACATGTGAATTATGAAAGCACTAGCACCAATTGTTCAAAAGTTATGGCCAAGATAATGTTTTTTAAAGTAGGTCAAACTCCTAGGTCAAGGTCAAAAAGTCAAAGTTGTTGATATCCAAAGGAAGGTCTTGTCACAACTATTACACGTGTAGAGTGTAAAAGCCCTTGCGTCAATTGTTCAAAAGTTATGGGCAAAGTTAAAGTTGGGTAAAATTTTGCAAAAGTTGGACAAACTCCAAGGTCAAAAGATCAAATATGATGGTACCCAAAGCTTAAGAAAGGTCTTGTCACAAGGAATACACACGTGAAATATGAAAGCCATAGCTCCAACCAATTAAAGGTTATGGACAATGTTAAGGTTTTTGCGGACAGGGCAAAAACTATATAACCCCGAATCTTCGATACGGGGACATAAAAACGCTGAAATGTATTGATTAGAGCAAAAACTTTTAACAGCTTTAGTTATATTTGAACAATACCATACTCATTAATTGTCATTTTCTCTTTACATGTAATTAAGTTTATAACGAAATATAAACTGTACTTGGGGGGTTCGTTGTCATGATGCTCTCAATAGCGAATATGCACATTTTACTGATAAATTTATTAGTATTATCCTACCAATAATTTTTGGATATATAAATATATTCACAACTTATAGTGTTTTCAATTGCTCTACCATTATTTCAATGCCCATTCACACCAAACGTTTTTATATTCATGCAGTAATAATCGCTTCGTTTTATTTTTTAACATTAGGCTCGATGTCATATGATGTTCTAGAAATTTCCATCAAGATTAAGATCAGTGAATTAAGAAAACGATTTGCACATTTTGCTTTTTAATCAATTCAAAACTTATTTCTTTTATATCATTTAAATCAAGTTTTGATCGAATAATTCATTAATGACGTCTTATGAAATAAATATACAATTGCTTGTTGTCAGTTTCATTAAAAATCGCCAGTAACTTAGATCCGCCACCACCATACTCTCTTTTATTGCTATTTTAGGACTGTTTACCGAAAATGAAAGTAAACTTTTAATTTACTTTAAGATAATTACTATGCGATTGAAATCTAAATATAGTTTACGGACATCACCTCATACATAGTGTATTCTTAAAGGAATAAGTTTGAACTCTGGTGCAGGCGTTTCGGAGTTTATTTGAAAAAAATATTGATTTATATGTGTATATATATATATAGAGAGAGAGAGAGAGAGGGTACAATTTGAAGTCATTTTAAGGGCAATCATTTTTTTTCTGACATCAAATGAATGAAAATTATATGATAAGAAAAAAATCAATAGCTACCGAATTTATGCGATATAAACTGGGTTGGAGCATTTTACCTTTTTTAGTCGTGGTTTATAAAGCGTTAACGCCCCCTTCCCTGTTTATACCGTATAAATTGGGTAGCTATTATATTCTTTTCTTAAAGAAACTACAAATATTTAATTTATATATTAAAGGGTGGTTCAGCAGCAGGCGAGAGGCCTCTCGCTGCGTTTTCTCTTATTGCTCTCAAAGAAGCCGAGATCATAAAAGGGGTATGTCTTTATTTTTATCGACTCAAAATCTTCTGGTTTTTGAATGGCTCACATGTTAGTGAAAAAATAGATATTGACAATTAGTTTATACACGAATGTGTTCTGAGCTCATCAAACTTCGGCAGGTTTCTAAAAGTAATTAATAAATGTGGTACTATTTCTCCTAATTATCCTATACCAAATCGTTAACAGAGTCAGCCGTTTGCTTTAATGACATCAACTTTCGAGAACACTCGCTGAGTAGTCAAACAACTTCCACTGACTCCATTCATATCAGGGCTCTAATTGGCGACTAATTTAATCGCCATGGCTCCTAAAATTTTTGATTGGCGCCTAAAATTTTTCCACAAGTCGCCAAATTGGCGACCATTTTAAATTGACTTGGCGATCCTCGAATTCCGGAAATTTTCACATTTTTAAAATTTTGTCTGAAAAAGCAAAAAGAAATTTAAAACTAGAGGAAATTATTTTTAGCAATGAACATGTCATGTTTTCTTAGGGACGTCATGGGTCCCTACATTCTATTTACCTTTAAAGTTATCGCCTTAGAAAAATTGCCTGGCGACTAAAAATGTGCAATGGCGACTAATTTTTTTTGGATAAGGCGCCATCTGGCGCCTAAATCTTAGAGGCCACTTAGAGTCCTGCATATTTGACTTCAAAAATTAACTTTGAATAGAACAATAGGTCAAGAAATTGAGGAAAGAAGTTTATCAAGTTTAAATTTCTAGATAGTAAATCCACTAGCAAACTTACTTCATATCTATTTGATACTATTCACACTTTTCATTGATCTTCGAATAGAAATTTTTACATGACATAAGTTTAGTTCCGTGTAATATTGGTAGATAAATATTAGGGATGTCAAATCGGTCAATATTTGATAATCGGTTACTCGGACGATTTTCCGATCGAGTACCCGGGTACTCGAAAAAACTGTAAAATACAAATGTGTTAATTTTATTGAGAGCTGTTAAGCCCCCTGTTTAACCCCATCGATGATTTTCTTAACGTTTTCTATGTTTTTACACAAACATCAAGCAAAACGAAAATGATTTTTTGTACTAAATTGATTTATCAAATAACAAAAAATGCAACAATTAATACATCAATAATTAGAAATGGTTTATAGTTTTTGTTAAGGAAAACGATTTGATCAACGCAAGAGGAAGAGAATTTGTAACGCAGCTTTGCAATGATTAGACAAGCGCAAGAAATTGTTTTTAAAGAAAGAGATAGTGTCGAGATCGCTAGACGTATATTATTCAATGTATTTAATTTATTGTTTAATACATGAATATTGAATGTTTCCCAATATACGCTATGTTAACTTTGAGAGCTAATTTTAAACATTTTTAAAATTTTAGTTCTTTCCTACTGTTTTTTTTTCCACTTTTTTAAAGTGGTAGCGACATTTCTTTTTAAGTCCGAATTCGCTACTGTATGCGAACTAATTATTTTAGGATAATAAACCCTAATTAAACGATGTTCATTAATTACTTATCATTAAAGCCATCCAAAAAATAACGGGCCACAAGAGGTGATAACAGCTGTGTACCAGGTGATTGGTCACGGTAATTACTGTATAAACAAGTACACAGCCACAGACAATAACGGGTATTAACAGGTGTGGGTGACGCTAATTACAAGGTAAACATGGACAATTCATTTTTAAGTTGCATTTTTTGATAAGTTTTTGATAAAAACAAAATTACTTTATTCTTTGAAATAAAAAAAAAAAAATACATCCGAATAACCGATTATCGATTTTAGTATTCGATTCTCGGACGTCCGATCGAGTACCCAGTTAACCGGGTACTCGTTGACATCCCAAATAAATATATATCATTATAACAGTATCTTGATCCGAAGAGCCGTATCACGTCGAGTTGACAGGCGCGGCTCATCAGATCAAACGATGCTCTGCGCCTGTCGATCAACTAGATGTGATACAGTTCTTCCGATCACGTTACTGTTATAATAATAAATTTATTATATACCCCTCTTTAATTAGCAAAAATATTATAAAAGAGAACTTTTTGGATCAATTACCCTTTTTTCATTAAACAAAACCCTTTTTAAGGAACTATTTGAAACGTAATTAAAAACGTCATGTATACTGTGTACTACATAATCAGTTTCAGAGAGAGGTGATATGGAATCAGAAAACCACATTCGGAAAGTCGGATCTCACCGTAATGTGATTACGTTAATTCAAGTGAAACTGAATGATACACAGTTGGGTATATGATAAATATCTTTAGCTATCCGATAGATTACTTTACAAGTATTTATGTTATTAACGTCCAGTTTGTAAATAAACAGGTGTCGAAGTTGACAAGTAAAGCAATACAGAAAGCAAGGACCTACCTGGAAAATGATATAGATCTAATGGATGATGTATACGAATTAGCCCTCGTTAGATACGCCTTAATAATAAGTAACAGCTCAAGAGTCAACGAAGTGACTAACAAACTCAATGATAAAGCAAATGAGAAAGGTATATGTTTGATCGTTGAAGTGAATTCAAACAAAAAGTACAAAGAAAGCACATATTAACACAATTGTAGCTATTCAGTTTTTTGCAATTTTATCCACACGTCTTTGAACAGATGGACTAAAACATTGGTCCAAACCAGAGACTGACAACCAGTGGAAGGGATGGGCTCCTCTTAAAGACCAGGCCAAGGCAGTTGATATAGAAACCACAGCATATGCTCTTTTGGGTCTGGCAATAAATAAAGACTTAGAAGGAGGGTTACCTGTTCTCAAGTGGATTACCTCCCAGCGTAACCCTGGAGGAGGATTTGCGTCAACACAAGTAATGATTTACGTTAAATTTTAATGTATTTACCACATATCTGTTCACATTTCAAAGACAAACTTGACGAATAAAGAAAAGTGACGTTTTTCACCTGATGCACCTATTTTCCCTTTATAGGACACTATCGTGGCGCTGCAGGCTTTAGCAGAATTTGCTACAATGGTATACTACCCAACCTTGAGCATGCGAGTGAGACTGACAAGCAAAACACCAGGTGCATCATTCCAGCACGAATTTAAAGTTACTCAAGACAACGCCCTCATTCTCCAGACCACAGACGTGTGTACAACTGTGATATAGTATTGCTTTTGAAAAAGAATATTCAATATGTTATTAGTATTTGAGCATGTTATGGTTGCATAATATATTTTCACATTCATATAGATTCCCTTGGAAGTGAAAAACCTTGAGGTCATGGCGGAGGGATCCGGCGTAGCTTTAGCTGAGGTTCAAGAATAGCATTTTTATTGCCTTCAAATCATACATATGCATGTAAATAATAATATAACTACCTATCTGATTCTTTCTTACAATTCCGTGCTATATTTCTTTCATAGATATCAACGTACTTCAACATTAATGACGACATTGAAGCTTCTTCTTTTGACGTTAATGTGACACTTACCGATGAAACACAAAAAGGGTTCACAGTAAAAATTTGTGGAAGGTAGTTAAGAAAGTGAAGATAATTGAAATAACATTCTCAATTTATCAATTAAGCTTTAATTACGCATATGTATATTTCTCTTCAAGATGGCTTAAGGAAGGTCATTCCGGAATGTCTATGATGGATATCGGAATACCCTCTGGTATGTCGCCCGATCTGGATACACTGGATACTTCTAAAGCTCCCATGTACAAACGTAATGAGATGGGTCATAGGAAATTATCCTTATATTTTGACGAGGTATGTCTCTTGTATTTTTTTTCTAATTTTGCATACCAATGGAAATGTTTTTAAAGAGTGAATAATTTTTTTTTTTGAAAAGTTGATGTACATGTATCACATCCTTTTATTGTCGTTTAGTTTGACAGTCAGGCCCAGTGTGCCTCTGTATACATGGCCAACACGGATAAAGTAGCAGAGAAGCAGCCATCTGTCATTAGACTCTATGATTATTACGAACCTAGTAAGTAGTGATGGATCATTCTATTGATATTTAATGTTACCGCTATATAAAATAAAGAAGAAAAACACGAAAAACCACAGTAAAGCATTAGACCTTTCATTATATCTTCAGAAGCTTTACAACAAAAATGAAAAAGATACAAGTATATATATATATATATATATATATATATATATATATATATATATATATATATATATATATATATATATATATATATATATATACTTTTTTCCCTTCAGAGAATCAAGCTACCACATTTTACTTGTCAAAGGTTTTGGCGGGCTCGGGTCTTTGCGATGTGTGTGGTAGGGAATGCTTCTGTGCAGACAAGCAAACAAGGTAAATTGTTATAAATTTCATGGTCAAGTGAATATTAAACGTACATGCATGTTTTCAGCTGAAAGGTTTAACAATTTGGAAAACATTTTGATTTTAAAAGTATTTCAACTAATTTTATTTCTTACTGTTTTTCAGTCTTATAAATATGGCAATCGACACATTGGTGCAATAATTGTTTCCACTACTCGAAGCTAGAAGTGAAATCCTTGTAATAAAGTAAAAATTCAGCTACAATGCTTAAAATGTATAAAGGTTGCCAGTATTCTTACTTTGTCATTTTATATTAAGTTAAATTATACTAAAATACACACAAGCTGAATTTATTCTTTCTCTGTATTAAATCATCAGCTGACTTCAATATAGAGTAACATTTGTTTTATATACAGTATAAAATTATACCTACAGAGGCATGTATATACCGTAAAAATCATTATTATATGCATTCTCATATGTATAAAGTAGATAGATCAAGAAAAAATAATTATAATAATTACACACATAAGAGATGAGCGTCATTTTTTGATTTGGTTCAACCATAGGTAGTAAAAATCCTCTTGTATAATGCTTAAAAGTTTGAAAAGATGCTTCAAACATGGAGGTGTATCCCTGGAGAAAATTATTGCAGATTTGGCGCAGAGTAAAATTTTGTAAAATTTGTCATCACATAAGTGGTTTCAAATACAGTACAGTAATAAACAATAAAAAAAATAATTTTTGACAATTCTTTATTTCCGCAAAATAACCCCAAGGCGAACACTCTGTTACATAGAAATTGCATAATTTTACCTCGCAAATATATGCAAGTTTACAGTGCAGATAATCAACGTCTGTTGATTAGAACTTAGGAACACACATCAACCAACAATTTTTTAGGGCTAATTTCAATATTCGTTCTATTTTTCTTCTTTTAAATGCATTGCAGTTTGAAATAATGCATGAAATATGGAGATAATGAACAGTAATCAAACTCAAAGTCCATTGAAACAATACAATTCGGGAGCAGAGCAAACACAGACCTCTAAAAAAAACAGAGGTGGGATCAGGTGCCATGGAGGAGTGAGCAATCCCTGTTGACTGGTCATACCCGCCGTATGATCTTTGTCATAATCAGGCAACCGGAAAAATCTATAGACAATTTATTGTTTATGTAATGGCATAAAATTAGTATGAAAAATGCCAGTCAGCATTCGACTTAATGATAGACTGTATTTGCTGACAAGGTAATTGTATCGACCATAGAACTTGTGAATTGATGACTTTAAACGAGACTGTTGATATCCTAATTTTCAGCAACTTGTTTGTCAATAGTTTGCCTCGTTTTTAGAATTGTTCGTAGGTGGAGCATGCTCTTGCGTATATAATCAACTGGGAGATATAAACCCCATATGCAGTTGATAAGGATATTGCTACATGATTAAGGGAAGCTGACGATAGAAAAGTTGAAATCATTACATTTATAATAATGTTTTGTTGTTAGCTAGGTAACCATTAACGTCTTTTTCTAGTAAAATATCCAAATATGAAACAGATGTGGTAGACTCTGTGGTATCTTTCATTTCAAATTAACTTAGATATATCGAGTAGACATATGAATGGAATCATATATGAAGATAAGGACCAGTATTCAATCTCAAAGGTCCATTGAAACAAAACAAATTTGACGCAAAGCAAACACAGACTAAATACATCCGTTGTGGGATCATGTGCAATGGAGGAGTACGCCTTGGGGATTTTAAGTATCAACGTCTGATTAACACCATTTCTCGAATATATTGTTGTACAGTACTCCTGAAGTTTCTCCTTAACCGTTGTTTTTCGAGGAGTAGAGAAAGAGGCTTAGTAGAACATTTACTGGAACCCATTATGTATCTTTGTAAGGATTTTTATGAAGTTTAGGAATCAAGTACAGGTATGGTTATTCAAATTTATTTTGATTGTTGGGGATATTAAAAATATTTAAAACTGACATGTTATTTTGAAGAATTCCCTCCTTGGAAACGGAGCTATGAGTATAAATTGGATTAAAACTTGCAAAATTAAATCCCAGTTCCTCTAAAATACAATTAAAATAATGAACCTTACAAACAAAGACAATGTTGTTACCTGCTTTGTCAGCTGGAATCGGTGCATACTGATCGTGTAAACTATCTAATTATTTTTTTCACTTCTGAATTATTGAAGACAGATGGATAGATGGTTTTCATATTCCCCCCAGTCGCTTAAAGCGAGATTTTAACATCCATCTGATACTTTTATTCCATTCTAACAAAGTGTCAAGGTCTTCATTTTCATGTTTGGTCCATCACCTGGAGTAATTTTCGACAGCATTCATAATATTTATAAAACTATGACGCCAGTTGAAAGATCGGGGTTCCCTAAGTTTAAGCCCTTTTAAAAAGAAGGAGGGATTTAAGGTCCTCATCATTTACTATATTTACGTCATCAGTAATGACGTGTCCAGCAGGACTATAGTTCTAAGGTGAAGAAGAATATGAACACGTTGGAGGATTGCGTTTCAAATGTTCGATATCTATGCATTGTAGAGGGGGGGGGGGTTGTAATTAAAAAGTTTGGAAGCATAGTCGACGAATATTTGTAAGAAATACATGTTGTGGACCTTTTTTGATTGAGAATATTACTTATTTTAACTACGTCAATTCCTTTGTTGGCATATTGAAGTTTAAGTAGCAAACGGGCTGTTTGAGCAGAATTTTCTTCCGTAAAAAGTGGCGGTTTAAAAAGCCTATGATTTGCAATATCCATAATCACAGATTCGAGCCTATATTCCGGTGACGAAGAATCCAAATATGCACTTTCCTTGACTTTTCAAATAGACTATTTAAAACTTTTAAAGGGACAGAGTAAAGCTTGGTGCAAGTATGATGAAGGCCTGTTTATTTATCCAAGGTAGTAAATCAAAGAGGACATCGTGTATAATACAAGTAGGTTAAAATATATAAGTCTGATCACATTCACATTGCTACACTGTAGACTTTAAAGATTCCTTTCACTATCGACATTGTCATTGCTGCCATATGAATAGGCCGTGCCTAGTTCTCTATTCCAGCATTCCTCTCGTTGTCTACAGAAAGGTGTACTCAATGATGGGCTATTAGTATGATGGTAAATCTTTTCTGAAATTCTAACTTTCATGGACTAAATAGAATGATTAGGTAAATTAAAGTGCTTGTATACAAGCTGCTTGCCTCCGTTGTTAATTTGAAATCTATGCCATGATATTCTTTTATTAAGCGAATCCTTGGTTTCACCAACATAAATAAGACAACAAGGGTACATTCTATTCTGTAGACAACATCAGATGATTTGCAGTTCAGATTTTCCCAAGTTTTGGTATAGAAGCTCTGTCCAGTATGATTGCTGGAAAAAGAATATTTTGTAATCAAAACATCACAGGTCTTACACTTTTTGACATAACATTTTGGAATAGAAGATACTGGATTGGAAAAGGAATCTTTAAATATATCTCTAAAAGAAACTTTACATTCTTTCAATATCTGATGACTGTACGTAGGACATATCTTTAATATCCCTTAGGATTATCCGAGGGACACCGATTGAACTTTTTTGTGTCCCTGATAGACTCAAAAGAGAGACACCTATTTATACTGGGCAACGCGTCTACCAGTATCTTTTCGTTATGCTGTGTACTACGCATGAATGAATAAGTAAAGAACGACAAGTAACCTCAGGGGCAGACTGTCCACCAGCAGAGACACATGTTCCTTGGTTAATATGAAACATGGAGATTTCTGCATTTCTTAATTAACCCCAAAAAATTTCTTTACTTTGTAAAAATCTTACCAGGTTTTATTGCAGATTTTCATGCATAATATATCCAATAATTATATCGTCATAATAAAGTGTTATATAACTCTACCTTTAAAAATCTTTGCCTGATATACATAATTCTATGATAAATTCATGAAAAAAGGAAAGTGAACCTTGGTTTTAACAAATTGTGTACATAAAATTATTCACAACTCGTAAATTTACTTACCTTGTCATTGGTCATTTGCAAAATTTTTTTTGTTAAAAAACATTCTGATTGTACACACAAGTACTCTGAAGTTGACAATAAAAAGATGCTTGATTTTCTGATTGACAATATCTATGTGGTTTTTGAGACCAGGTCTTCCAACAATCTATTGGAATTTCCATGGGTACCAATTGCGCCCCCTTATTAGCAGACCTTTTTTTGTATTCATATGAAGCAGAATTTGTCCAAAATCTTATATGTAATAAGAAGAAAACACTTGCTGTGGCCTTCAACTCGACATTTAGATATATCGACGACGTATTGTCAATTAACAATGGTTATTTCCATATTTATGTCGATATATATATATATATATATTCCGGTGAGCTTGAGATAAAAGATACTACAGAGTCTGACACATCTGTTTCATATTTGGATATTTTACTTGAAAAAGACGTTAATGGTAATCTAACAACCAAGCTTTATTAGAGCGTTCGCTCTAGAGTCGCGGAGTAAGGAGTTGATCATTACGTCGCGGGTTCCAATCCCACTGTGGGACGTGGAGACCGGTCCTTCGGATGAGACCGTATAAACCGAGGTCCCGTGTCACAGTAGGTGCTGGCACGAAAAAGATCCCTCACTGCTCAATGGCCCTAAGTGCCGAGTATAGGACAAAATTTGCAGCTCTCCACCGGCAAGTGGTGGCGTCTCCATATGAGTGAAAAATTCTCGAGAGGGACGTTAAACAACAAACAAAAAACCAAGCTTTATGATAAACGTGATGACTTTAACTTTTCAATCGTCAACTTCCCTTACTTATGCAGCAATATACCTTCATCTGCATACGGCGTTTATATCTCTCAGTTGATTCGATACGCAAGAGCATGCTCTACGTATGTACAATTCTAAAACGAGGTAAATTATTGACAAACAAGTTGATGAAACAAGAATTTCAGCAGTCTTGTTTAAAGTCATCATTTCGTAAGTTCTATGGGCGATACAATGACCTTTTCTGCAAATACAGTTTATCATTGAGTCGAATGCTGACTGACGTTTTTCATACTAATTGTTAGGCCATTATTTACATACTGAATTGTCGACGGATTTTTCCGTTATTTCCCGATCATGACAAGGAGCAAACGGCGGGTGTGACCGGTCGGCAGGGGATGCTCACTCCTCCATGGCACCTGATCCCACCTCTGATGTTTTGGAGG